TCTAGAAAAGGCAAATGTAATCTATAGTGACAAAAGCAGATCAGTGGTTGCCTAGAACTAAGGGTGATACTAAGTTTGCAAAAGGGCATAGGGCAGTAGTGGTAAACCTATGACACCTGTTTTTTTTTAAAGGCAAAAGATCTTAATGCATGAGTTGTTTTTTCTAAACTAAATACTCAGTATTCAGGTTCAATTGCAATATTGGCACTTTGGGATAAATAAATGGGGTTTGGTTTCCAGTATGGGCACTCGTCTCTAAAAAGTTTCACCACCATTGGCATAGGGAATGATTTGGGTTGATAGGTATAATTTAGGCATGAATAGGTTATGTCATATGGCTTGTGGGACAGAATACAACTTGTTCTGAGTAAGACATAAGCATAATATCGCTGGGCGTGGTGGTGCATATCTGTAATCCCAGCACTTGGGAGACTGAGGCAGAAGAATTGTCACAACTTCCGCCAGCCTGGGCTGCTTAGTGAGTTCAAGGCCAGCCTGAACTGCATAGCAAGACCTTGTCTCGAAAAAAAGCATAATATCAAAGTCGGCAGTGAGGAAAGAGGGCACTTTATTGGAACTGAGAACTTTGCCACATAAATGTATTAAGAATGTGGTCAAGCTTTTTACCAAGATGGCCCCGAAGGCGAAGAAGGAAGCTCCTGCCCCTTCCAAAGCTGAAGCCAAAGCAAAAGCTTTGAAAGCCAAGAAAGCAATGCTGAAAGGCATCCATAGCCACAAAAAGAAGAAAATCCGCACGTCACCCACCTTCCACCGTCCCAAGACACTGCAGCTCCGGCAGCAGCTGAAATACCCTTGGAAAAGCACCCCCAGGAGAAACAAGCTTGACCGTTATGCCATCATCAAGTTCCCCCTGACCAAAGAGTCGGCCATAAGATAGAGGACAACAACACACTCATATTCATTGTGGATGTCAAGGCCCAGAGGCACCAGATCAAACAAGCTGTGAAGAAGCTGTATGACATTGATGTGGCCAAGGTCAATACCCTAATCAGGCCTGATGGAGAGAAGGTGTATGTTCGACTGGTTCCTGATTATGATGCTTTGGATGTTGCCAACAAAATTGGAATCATCTAAACTGAGTCCAGCTGGCTAATTCTAAATACACATTATTTTCACCATTAAAAAAAAAAAAAAGAATATGGTCAAATCAGAAAATAATTCCACTCAAATATCCGCACAGGACTGAAGGCCAAGTAACTAACTAGTGTGACAATTATGGAGGCTCTTATGGAATCTGTGAAAAATTAGGTAACTGTTTTAACTTTCTTAGTGACTGAATATTTCCATCTCTTTAAAGTGAATGCAAAAAGATTTAGAACTCCTAATCCTGTATTGTGTTCAATAAATATACACGGAATGAACCAATTATATTTATTGATTGATTTTTTTTTGAGACAAGGTCTTGCTTTGTAATTTGGACTGACCTTGAACTCAACTATGTAGCCCAGGCTGGCCTCAAACTAGCACTAATCCTCCTGCCTCAGCCTCCCAGTCCTAGGATTACAGGCGTGTGCCACTACCCTGGCTAAATGCATGAATTTTAAAAAGAAAACATCGGGCTGAGGATATAGCTCACTGATAGAGCATTTGCCTGGCATGCACAAGACCTAAGGTTCAATCCCAAGGTTCAGTCCCAAGCATCAGGGAAAAAAAGAAAAGAAACAGACTGGGGATTTAGCTCAGTGGCACCACACCTGCCTCACAAGTGCAAGGTCCGGAGTTTGATCCCGGGTACCAAAAATAAAAAAAAGAAAAGAAACTGTCAACATTATTTCTCTTAGTACCTTTAGCAGGTATGAACACACAAAGTCTATAACTGAATGCTTTTTGTATAAATGAAGTTAGCTATATTGTTCATAATCTGAGTTAGGATTGCTGATTCAGTTCGTATTATATTTGACCAATTATTACTTAGATTAGAGATTGCTTAGATTTTAGAGCAGCATTAATCTTTCACTTTACACATTTTGATATGTTTAAGTATTTTTTTCTTTAATGCATTTTCATTAATCTAATTACCTATATTAAATCTAATCAGTGACTTCCTGGGATGAATATCTAGTCATTAAACAAAGGGTACATTTTCAAATAATTATTCATATTGTCTAAATAATCTAAATGCTATACTTATTTTAATTCAAAGTATAGTGCTTTTGTTTTCTGAAACAGTGTATCATAAATACAAATTCTGATATTATTTGAATTTAAACAGAATTTACCAAGTATATTCCTTTTTGAAGTATATGGCAGTAATGTTCAACACCCAAGTTTACTATCAAGAACACTGATTGGATCAGGGAGTGGTGGTGCACACCTGTGATCCCAGTACTAGGGAGGCTGAGGCAGGAGAATTGCCACAAGTTCAAAGCCAGCCTGAACTATATATATCAAGACCCTGTCTCAAAAAACAAAAACAAGAATATTGATTGGTTAGCTTTTCAGTCAATTCTTTAGCAAAAAGAAATAGAAGGAAAGGGCAGGTTTCCTCTGTGCTTCAGGTGACAGGGAAGAAATGGCAGCTTGTGTTCTCAGTGGAGGCACTCAGCTCCTCTTGCCATGGGTTTCCTTTATTGAGTAAGTCTCTATCGAAGATTTGACTTTGAGCCTAAAGGCTTTTTATATCTCTGCATTTAATTTTTTCTTGGCTCTATACATCTTTTTTTTTTCCTCAAAAGCACCTTAGTTGATGTATTGATCATAAAATTCACCCACTTAAAGTACATAAGTCAGTGAGTGTGCGGCTGTTACCACAGTCTAATTTTGGAACATTTCCATTATCCTACAAAAAAACTCCATACCCATTCATAGTCACTCCTTATTCCCCTAGTTCCCCCAACCCTGCCCTGCAAAATAATATCCCATTATATGGGCGTACTTCATTTTATGTATTCATTCTTTGGTTGATGGGACATTTGAATTGCTTCTACTTTTTGGCTTTGTGAATAATACCACTACAAACATTCATATACAAGTTTTTGTGCCATCACCATTTTTTAGCATATAGCTTTCTTTTGATGTGTAGTGTGTTCATATATTATGTCATAAGATTTGCATTAGAACACCCCAGGTATAGTTTTAACTTAATGAGTACAACATATGTCATGCAATCGTCTGCATACATCTTACTAAACTCAAATGTTTATTAGTTTCTCCTTTGTCGTTTTGAGTCATTTAGAAACTATAATTGGGTAAGCAAAAAAAACCAGCCCATTTTGCTTTTCATCACCCTTGTTATTGGGCCATTTCCAGGAACTCGAGTTTGATATTTTTCTGTCTTGAGCTAGAATAGAGAAGATTGGCTTTGTGTGAATCCGTTTACAGTTGGTTGACTAACTTGGAAGACAAAAAGCTAAATGACAACAGTAGTCATCTTCTGTGTTGTTGTTGTTGAAATCTTAGTCTGGTTTTGGTTTTCTTAGAGTGAAACTTTGCAAAAAAGAGTCTATACACTTAAAGTGGCGAACACCTTCTGGAAATTAATTTCTCTGTTGACATTAACCTCAAAGATATATCATTGGCCAGGGATTTAGCTCAGTGGTTCCAGCGCCTGCCTTGCAAGCTCAAGGTCCTGAGCTCGATCCCCAGTACCAAAAAAAAAAAAAAGATATATCATTGACTGTACAGATGAAGTAGATGTACCCAGCAGCTCAAACTGAACCCGAGCAATCATTAAGAAAGAGGTTCAAAGAATGTGATTACTGAGAGGAGCCTTTAGGGGCATTTATTCACATTGTCTTCTTGCTGTTGACTCAGCTCTGGACTTTGAGGTTTATTTGTTGGAAACAAGACCCCTTAAGTCTGAGCTAGATTAGTGATTTATTAAAATCTAGCTAGATTAATATTAAAATAAATGCTTAGCAAATTATGAATTATTATAGCCCCTCCCCTCAAAAAAAGGTTTACTGTAGCTGAGGTTATGGGTTAGTGGTAGAGCACTTGCTTAGCATGTATGAGGTCCTGAGTTCAGTCCCCAGCACTGGAGGGAAAAAAGGTTTAGTCAAGACTAGGAATATAATGGGTTGAAACTCCTGCACTAGGGAAAAAAGTTTTTATATTTGGGTATGTTTGGTTACAGAAGTTCTAGGTTTTTGGAACTAACATGAATAGAGAAGGGAAAATTGATTTCAAGATTTGGCTATTTCATGAATTTGATCCATGTCAGTTTTATAAGCACAATAATTTTTAACTCATTAGGATAGTACCCTCCAACCTGGACTTTGTAAATCATTTCTTTCCTTTTTTTTTTTTTGTACCAGGAAGCAAACTCAGGACCTTGCACTTGCCAGGCTGGCACTGTGCCACTGAGCTACATCTCCAGCCCCCTCCCTTCAGTCTTGAGAGGAAACTAGACTTAGGAGCAAGTTAGTTGTGGTTTGGTTATTGCCAGTCACAGTTTTTTTGCTTAACAAAATATGAAAAAATGATTATAATTGGCTTATTTTCTGCTAAGTTTTGGAAAGGACAAATTTATTACTTGTGGTCTAATTTGTTAAAGTCAGGGCCATGTTTTCTACTACTTTAATATCCACAAGAAATCTTTATGCAATGCAGGATATTAAGAGAGTACTTGGGGCTTGTTCTGAGATTTCATTTCACCAGTGCCCTAGAGTTTCTACTGGGCGTAGTGCTGCATACCTGTAATCCCATCACTCGGGAGGCTGAGGCAGGAGGATCACCATAAGTTGTAGGCCAGCCAGGGCTACTCAGTGAGTTCAAAGCAGCCTGAACTACATAGCAAGATCCTGTCTAAATCAATCAATCAATCAGTAATACATACGTACATAGTTTCCTTCGCTTGCCTGGTTATTCCCAGATTGTAGTTTTCTTGAGGTTCAGTTCAAACATCACCTGCTTTCTAAAGCTTTTCTTGTCTGTCCAACCTAAGCCTTCTGCAGAGTTAATTATCTCCATTTCTGCCCTCGTAATGTGTTCTATATTCTCTTCTAGCTTTATGACTTTGCTTAATAATTATTTCCTAGGCTGCTGGCTCCAAGGCAGGATGGCATGACAGAGGGACATAGTGGAGGAAATGCTGCTCTTGTCCAAGCAGCCAGAAAGCCCGAGGGAACAGAGGAGCCAGGGAGTGAGATAAACCCTTTCAGGCACACCCCAGTGGGCCACCTTTTCCAGAGGCCTCATCTCCTAACAGCGAGTCAGGTATGCCACTCCCATAATTCAGTCACCCGCCAAAAGCCCCACTTACGAGTGCCTGAAGCTCTTGGTGGACATCTAGCTATAAACTATAACAGGACATAAAGCTACAGTTTGGGTAAAAATTCTAATCCTGGGCTGGAAGTATAGCTCAGTGGCAGAGCACCTGCCTAGCATGGACAAGGCCTGGGTTTGATCCCAATACAGAAAAAACAAAATAATTCTAGTTCTTTGGCTAAATGTTTTAACCCCCCCCTTTTATGCTCATATTTTATAGCTCATATGCTAAAAGATAATGACCCCCCTTGTGCTTTATGTTATAAAAATAAAGTGCCCTGTGATCATAATTTTGAGAATATAAAAGAACCTTGCGTCCTCTGTAAGTAATGAATTAGAGCTTCAGAGAACTGGAAACAAAATCAAAGATCCTGGAAAATGTAGATTAATGCTTCTCGAGTGTTAACATGCATTAGAATCACCTAGGGTGTGTTAAAAGATCTCAAATAAGGCCTGAGAATGTATGTGTTTAAGTTCCCAAATAATGTTGATGTAGTTGGTCCAGGGATCACCTTTGAGGACCACTTATATAGCACATTTAACTAACCTCCCTACAAGACATCAGATTATTGAAATAAAGTCTGTTCCTCATCAGCTCACCTGTTTAAGATGTTTTGTTTTGTTTTTTGAGACAAGGTCTAGTTATGTAGTCCAGGCTGGCCTTGAACTCTGTATCCCAGGCTGGCCTCAAACTCACAGTGATCCTCCTGCCTCAGCCTTCTGAGTGCTGGGATTTATAGGCATGCACACCCAGCTAAGTTCTGAAGTTTCAAGAATGCATACTGTTACACAGAGTATAACATAATTTTCTCACTGAGCATATTTTTGTGTTCTAATTATTTTAATATAGTGATTCATGAATGTTGTAAATAAAATATTCAGAAACATCAAAATTGGATATTATGGAAAAACATAAGGTTAACTAGCTATTATTTCTAATCTGGAGGAAAATAACCACTACCATGTGACTTTGTAAGTAGACAGGTCATCCAATCACATTCTTACTTGATTGCAGTGTGGTTTTTAAAAAACTCACTAGCAAGTCAAGACAAATTTTTAGACCTTCATACTTGTGATTAGAGAAAAAAAGTTTTAAAATTAAGGCTTGGAAGCATTCTGTACATTGTACATTTTTTCCAAGTTTGTTAGGGAAATTATCTTTAAAAGTTTCTTCCATTCATGAATTTGCTACCCAATCAGATTGAGGAAATGAACCATATATATATATATAATATTATATATGTTTTTCAATTTTTTATATATGTTTTTCAGTTTTCACTTTTTATTATTACATGTTTGCAGTATATGATTATATTTCTCGTGGGGGTTGGTACATGTACATAACATTTTAATTCTTTTTTCATCTTTTCTTGGTCCTCTGCCTTCCCCCTCCCCATTTCTTGATCCCCTTCCCATTTGAGAAAGATCTACCTCCTTACTTCCTATTATCTAACTTTTATTTTGCTCTTTATTTAGATTTTGGGTTTCTTTTATAAGAGAAACCATGTGATATCTAAGCTTGTGTGTCTGATTTATTTCACTTAACATTATGGTCTCAAGGTACATCTATTTTCCTTTAAAGAACTCAGGTTTATCTTTCTTTATGGCAAAGTAGTACTCCATTGTGTATAAATACCACATTTTGTTTATCCATTCATCTATTGACAGATACATAAGCTGCTTCCAAGATTTAGCTGTTATGAATTGTGCTGCTATAAACATGGTATACACATTTCACTGTAATTTTATATCTTTAACTCTTTTGGGAAGATACCTAGAAAGGGAGTAGCTAGGTCAAATGGAATTTCTAGTTCTAGTTCTTTGAGGAAACTCCATACTGATTTCCATAGTGGTTGTACTAGTTTACATTCCCACCAACAATGTAGAAGAGTTCTTTTTCCCTTTGCTTCCTCACCAGGATTTATTATTTGATTTCTTGATAATGGCTATTTTTTCTGGAGGAAGATAGAATCTTGTTTTAATTTGCATTTCTCTAATGGCCAGAGATGATGAACATTTTTGCACTGTGTGAAAGTGTCAAGCCAGGATTTACACCCAGATGGTGCTCTGGCTAACAGTTTTGCATATGTTTACCTGAGCATCATAGAGGGTATAATACACACACACAACTCTAGGATTTGTTTTTTAAAAGTTTTCTTTTGATTTTTCTGGTAGAAGTAGCCCAATTCAGTACAATGGCACATGAAAAACTAGATTTGCAAGTTTTGGAGGAGGTCAAAGTCAAGATGATCCATTATGGTAAAATACATGTTTTCATAACAGAAGAGTGGTGTGGGTAGATGATGATGATGATAATGATAACTTTGACATTGGGCACGTGAGCCAAAGTTCCTGTGACAGTGAAGTGGAGCAAGAATAGGGCTGGGGATTTAGCTCAGTGGTTTGGTGCCTGCCTTGAAAGCGCAAGGTCCCGAGTTCGATCCCCGGTACCAAAAAAAAAAAAAAAAGAATAGACTGATACAGATACAGAGAATGAAGACCTCCTTCATTCAGATGATGAAGAACACAGCAATGTGAGTACATATTTGACTAGACAAAATGTTGCAAAATGGTCACACAACCAAATGGAACAATCCAATGTTAGAACTAGGTCTGAAAATATAGTGAAAGTCTTGGCAGGAGTGAAACATATTGAACAAAATGCCAGCACTGCCAATCAGTGTTGCAAATTATAACAGATGAAATGGTACAAGATGCTGTGAAATACACAAAGGGTGAGATACAAGTAAAACATTCTGTATGCAACAATAGCCATATTCAAAAATGTATTTATTATGATGCCTCACTAGCTGAACTGAAAGCATTCATAAGTCTGCTGTACTTAGCAGGGACTTCTCATGGTAATTGCAGGAATGTAAAAGACTTATGGGAAAGCTATCGGTCAAAATATGGCATAAAAATACATGCCCTTGTAAATGCAAAGACTTATTATGCTTTACTTTAGAAATTTACCCTGGAACTCAGCCATCAGGTCCTTATAGATATAGTAATAAACTGAATGATGCTGTGCAGAACAGACTTGTTGCACCCATCTCCCAAACTAATTGGAATGTAACATTCAACAGTTGGTTTATCAGCTTCCAATCAATGTTACATTTGCTAACAGAACACAAATTAACCAGCACAGGAACTGTATGCAGGAACAAAGCAGAAACTCCAAATGAAATGTTACAATTTCAGAAAGAGAATTGTGTAGTACAATCTTTAGATTTCAGAAAGATTTACATTGGCCTCATATATGGCAAAGAAAGACAAACTGGTACTGCTGATGTCAACATTACACCATGATAGAAATATTGATAGGGAAACCTTGACAAAATGGAAGCCTGAGATGGAAACTTTCTACAATAAAACCAGAGGTGGAGTAGATGTTGTTGATGAGTTATGCAGCAACTATGATGTTACTCAAAACACAAAGCATTGGCCAATGATTATGTTTTACTTGATCCTAAACATGTGTGGCATAGTTTGATAATTTACAAAGAAAATAACTAATGCAAAATACCACAGATAAATTTTCTTAGAGGATTGGGACTGGAACTCATAAGAGATCATTTACAGCAGAGGAAAAACAAAATGTTTCTGCCCAAAGAGAACTACACAAGAAAATTGTGGAGCACACTGGTGAGCTGACCGGTAAACAAGCAGGCACAGCATCCCAAAGACCTACTACGACAACAGGAAAACCCAAAAGATGTTAACTGTGCCCTACAAGAAAGGACAAGAAAACAAAACATATGTGCTATAAGTATAAGCAATACTTAGGTATAGAACATGCAATTTTCATGTGTGAAGACTGCCTTGGGTGTGACAGTTGAAGCAAAGATTATTTTTGTTGTAGAGTGCTATTGTTATTTTCACTGTAGTTCACATAGGTTTTTATTTCTGAAGTTAATTTTAGGTTTTGTAAGCAAATACACAGATGATGTGAAAATGCTGATGTCTATTCTAAGCACTTATTACATATTTGATATTTTATTAGTATCTTATTTCCTTATTTAGGTGTGATAATTGCAGTAAAGATTTTTTTTTGTAGAGTGCTATTGGTATTTTCATTGTAGTTCATATAGGAATTTATTTGTTGCCCTTTTTTAGACTTTGTACACCAAAAAACAGTGGATGTTGACAATTTTGATGCTTTTTAAATAAACAGTAAATGTTAAAAATGCAATTCTTGGGCCAGGGACTTAGCTCAGTGGTTCCACCACCTGCCTCACAAGCGTAAGGGCCCGAGTTCGATCCCCAGTAACAACAAAAAAATGCAATTCTTTGTTTTTGTGATTTTTTCCAGTTAAGCACTCATTGTTTAATAAAACTCAAAATTAAAATTATTAATTCATCAATAGAAATAGTCTAAAGAATAAATGTAGGTTTGACACACCCATGTGTCTGTGACTTTATGACAAAAGATGTGTTACGCTTCAGAGATTGGCCTGTAGTTCTCTATTTCATTTGGATCCTTGTCTGGTTTTGGAATAAGGATAATGCTAGGCTCCAAGAATGATTTTAGGAGTATTCCTTCCCTTTCAATTTCATTAAAAAAGTTTGAGAAGTGTTGGCGTTAGATCTTCCCTGAAGTTCTTGTAGAATTCATCAGTGAATACATTCAACCAAGAATCTGTTTCTTAGTTGGTAGGTTTTTTATTACTGCTTCAGTTTCATTGCATTGGATAATTCAGGGTTTTTATGTCTTCTTGGTTCAGTTTTGTTAATTCATATATATCTGGGAATCTATGCATTTCTTCTGAATTCTCCAATTTATTGGAGTACAGGTCTTCAAAGTAGTTACTAATACTCTTCTGGATTTTGGTGATGTCCCTTGTGATTTTACCTTTTTCATTTCTAATTGCACTGATTTGGGTCTTCTTTTCTTTCCTTTTTGGGATAAGATTGGCTAAGGGTTTGTTTTGCTTACTTTTTGAAAGAAC